AGGCCGGCACGGGGGGGAGGGAGGGAGGGGGGCAGTGCCCGAAGCCACGCCCCGCGCTCGCAGCTATTGGCTGAGAGCAACACGCCCTCGCGGCGCCCCGCCCACTCACGCCCGGGGCCCCGCCCACTCCGCGCCGCCATTTTGACCTAGAGCTTCCCTCAGCTCCCCCACCCGGGGCCGGCCGGCGTTAATTAGTGAAAAACGTTAATTAGCAAACGGCGGAAGCCACGAAGCGAGCGGAACGCCGTGCTGTCAGAAAACACCCAGCCGGGCTATCAAAAAATAAGCAAAAAAACAAAAAAAAGAGTCGTTTTCTGCAATAAAAGGCCCCAAATGCATGCATCTTCTGCCACACATTTTAAAATTTATTTACATAAATGTGTATGTGTGAGATGGGAATCGAAGTGCTTTGGGGTGTCAGGTCCCCACACCACCACAGCAGCTCAGGGAAACAGGTGGAGACTTGCAGCAGCCTCTTTGCTCCTGGGCGTCATTCCCGAATTAGAAAAATAAAAGGAAAAATACACACATTTTATTGTAATGGGCAACAAACACCGTGTCAAAAAAACATGAGGAAAACCACCATGAAATCGCATCGAGGAACGAACCACGGAGGATATTGTAAAAAAAAAATATAATAATAATAATAATTATAATCAAAAACTTCAGGAAACGGCAACTTGTACCCACTGCGGGGCAGGGATTTGCTGGGAATAACCCAAATTCCTGGGAAATCCGGTCTCTGAGAAAGCAAAGTCTGTCTCGGTGGGTGGTTTCTCGCCCCCCCGAGCGAGCCCAGCGTCAAGCGATGAAATCCAGGGGTCTGTTGAATCCTCCTTTTCTGTTCATGTACTGCCTGCGGCCAGAGGGAAGGAACCAGCGTCAGCACCGGGGCACCCACCCCCCGCACAGCAAATCCCCACAAAAGCACCCAAAAGAGGCCCGTAATGGCAGCCGCAGGGGGTGGAATTCCCCGTGGATTTGCCCAAGTCTCCCACCCAGGAGGCACGAGCGGAGGCTGGGCTGTTTGAGGTGCAGGTCCGAGCCCAAGCCCCGCAGCGCAGCCTGGCCATCCATCAAAATGTACTTTTTTGACGGCACTTTCCATCAAAAAGGAGACAGAATTGACAAACTGAGCGGTGTTTTGGGGGGAAGAAACAGGGAAACTGCGGTGCTTACGCAGCTCCCACCCACTCAGGCCACACTTGGGACATCCTGCCTGCACACAGCGTGCTCTTTTTCTCCTCATCTCTCTGCTTTCACCGTTTCCAGGAGAAAACAGAGGCTTCTTACCTCCGTTTGACAGTAAAAACTGCAAACTTTGCCTTTTTCCAAAGGCCCGAGAAGGCGGATCACACGACAAGAGACAGCAGCTCCGACGGACAGCCACAGCTTCCTCTGAGCCATCTTATCTCATCAAAAAAATTCTTTCTACCCCCCACCCCCCCAAAAAATAAGGCTGGGCACAAACCTGTACTTCCTCTTCTGGGAGACATTGATGGCATAGGCATTTGCAGCACCGTCCACCTTCTTCCCCTGAAAGGCATTAAGAAAAATGGTCCCAAACCTCAGCATGTTATCCCCAAAAAAGGCCTGTCAGAGGCGGCTGCGGGCTCCACCGCACTAATCCACACTCACTTTTGTCGTGTCAAAAGAGGCAAAGCCCATCATCTTCATCATCTCAATTTCCTCTTCCGTCTTACCCTGCAAATCTTCCTCTGCCGAGGCAACAAAGAAAAAAAAGAGTTCAACCAACACAGCTGTCAGGTTTCACCAAAAACATTTAAAATTAAGCACCGGGTGTCACCCTGGTCCCAACTCAAGTGGGAAAGTCAGTGCCCAGGACATATTTAAGGAGGGAAATCCCCGCCCCCCCTCACCCGTGATCTGACGCTCTTTGCCTTTGGAGTCCTTTATCTCCTTCTTCTCTTCATCTCGCCTTTCCTTCAGCCGCGGTGGGGAGGAGGAGCTGGATCGGTGCCGTCTCGGGGACCTGATGTTGCAAACGCAGGCGGGTTTGCAGCTTCCCAGCTGTGCCATTACCAGTTTCACAGTGTTAACGAGTTCCCGCTGTCCCCATACTGCCCAAACCACACCTCACCCGGGCCCTCCAACTTGTCCCTGCCACAGCACTGCCATTTCTGACCCTCACCTGGATCGTCTCCTGTGTGGGGAACGAGAACGGCTCCTCCTCCTGTCCCTGTCCCGGGACCGGGATCGCTCTCTTCGCCTCCTCTCCCTCTCCCTTGAGGTGGAGCGCGAACGCCTCCGCTCTGCTTGGAGAAAGGCAAGGTTTAGCTTCCGTTTCCTCACGTTTCTCCCGCTTTTCAATGAAAATCTCATCAACGCTGTGACAGCTCCCAAGCAGAGACCCACACAGCAACTTCCTCGCACCTCCTCCCCTCCATGGCTGAGCTCAGAGTTCCCCCCAGCACCCGCACAAGTCAGAAGAGCGGTAGGAAAAGTCACCCGGGGGTGAGGTGACCAACCTGTCGGCACATCGGTCCCCCAAAAGCTAAGGTGCCTGGAGGGGGGCAGGAACCGGTGTGGGGAGGACGAGGAGGAGGAGGAAAGGCCCCTCTGCTCTCCCCAGAGCAAAGAACTGAGGCCCCATCACCACCGCCCCCCGCCCTGGAGGGGCCTCCCCCCCTTGCCCAAGGGTTGGGAGATCTCCCAGGGCCCGCTCCTACCCCGGGCTCGGCCTGCCCGCCCCCGGCCTGCCTCCCCCTTAGGGCCCCCATACCGCTCCCCTCAACGCAGCCCCGGGGCCAGTCCCCCCCCGGCCTCTCTCCTCCCCCCCTCGGTGTTCCCCCCGTCGCCCCTCACCGCGCCGCGGCGGCGAGCGGGAGCGGCTGCGGCCCATGGCCGCCCCTCAGCACCAGCACTTCCGGCCGCCCGGCTGGCGCACTTCCGGCTCCGGCATTCACCCCCCTCCCCCCACAACCCGCACCGCAGCGCTTTGGTTCCGCCGCGAAAACGTTCCGGGTGCGGGCCCCTGGGGCGGCTGAGCTCCCCCTTCCCGCACCCACAGCCGGGGGGGGGACAGGGTTGGTGGGGCCGTGACCCCCCAGCCCCACAGGGAGGCCCGCCACACCTTCTCATCGCCCCCCTCTCCCCATCCAAGCTCCACAGCACGAGCAGGTGCCAAACACGGGGTTTATTTACAGACAGGCGGTACACAGCGCTTTCCAGCGACGATTGTCAGACACCGGCCCTCGCCAAGCCCGCGGGGTGAGGGACACCCCGCTCCCTCCCCGCCCTGCTCCCCCCGGGCCCTAGTGACCTGGGGACGGGGCAGCCTCTTCTCGGCCTCATGTCGATGGATTTTCAGCAACCACATCCTCGCCAGGGACCACTGGGCCTGGGCCAGGGATGTCTGCCAGCCCCAGGAGGCAAAGTGGGTGCTGAAGCCAGCTTGAGCCCCGGCGTCGCCCTCCTTTCTTGCGGTGTGTTGGTGGATCTGTGGTCAAAGATGACCCTTTCTCTTCAGCTGACGGTGTAAACGTGGAGGGCGATGAGCACCGAGCCTGTGGGCGGCAATTGGCACCTCTCGGGGTTACCGGATCGACGGTTTGCCTCGTGGCCAGGGGTACGTCCCTGCCTCCCCGCTGCCAAAAACCCACACCCAGGGCCTGGCCTGGGGCACATGCGTCCAGGCAGTCCGGCCTAAAGGAGGTGAGAAGGAAAGCAGCAAGCCCAGGGGCTGACTGTGAGCAGCTGGCAGCAAAACGCTGGCAGGGAGAGGGGGAGAATTATCTGGAGGGGTGGTCCTGGGGATGCCCTAATGGATGGGGAAGCTGTGGCATGGATCTGATCCTGTATCTGTTTTCTTCTAGCTAAGGGGTGAGGATGCACATCACAACAGTGGCCATTTGAGCCTTCCTCCCTGCTGAAGGTACCGGTGTCTCTCACTTCCCAACACCGCACTAGACACCTAATGCACACCAGACTGCCACAGAGGGGGGAAATAAATCCCTGTCTCCCCTGCGAAGCCCATGGCTCACGGAGAAAAGGGGTCATGAAGCCCCTGGGGACAGACCCTTGGAGAAAAAGGGGCTGCAGCCGATCCGGTGGTGGGGCATGTGGCAGTGCTGTAATTCAGGTAATCGCTGGGGGAGTGACCGTGCTGGCTGAAGGAGGCAACACAGCTGCCTCTGCTGGGGCTTTCCCAGCCAGGGTTGCTCAGAGGGATGGTCAAGATGACAAAAATGGCCTCAAAGAGCCTTAAAATCAGTGGCAGTAAACAACACCCCATGGGAAACTGTCTGCTGAATAGATGTTGAATATAGGCACCAACACCAGTTGGTCCATCAGTCACAGGCGGTGGATTTAGGAGCTCAGGGTCCCCCTGGTCTTTACAAGAGTGTGATAGGGACCTGTGGCTCTGACCCCGGTGCTGACTCTTCTTGAATACCAGGCTGAGGTCGGCCCTGGGGCTCCAGGTGTGTATTTTTGCAATTTTTTGCTTCTTACGTTTTACTTTTTGATTCAGAATTTAAATGCCTGTCACGCCCCATATCGCAGCCCTGCACAGAAAACCAGCCTGCCTTTACAACCTGCCTCTCCTTGACCCACAGCTGCCTGCACCCCAACTCCCTGCCTGTGCCCTGCTGCCCTTAAAGTTGCCACTGGGCTTTCAGCTTCTCCAGGGGGAAAAACAAAAGCCAAGAGATGCCTCACAGCAGTTCAAGGCTTTGAAAATAGGGTGGTGGCGTGTGAGAAACCCAATGTCCTCAGAGGGGGGGATTCTGGGGGTCCCCAGCTACAAGCCCAGCCCACATTTGGGCTGTGGTGGGGAAGCCCCATCCCCACAGGCAGCACTGCCTGCGTAGGACCTAGGAAAATGGGAAACCTCTGGGGCTTGCGGGAGGATAGGGGCTGATCCCATTGGTTTTCTCCCCTAAATCCCAGCGCTGGAGCAGCTGCGAGGCAAATGGGCATCACTGGTTTTCTTTTTCCATTCTGGGAACGGCCGGGATGGTGTAACGATGGTGGTGTCAGCGGAGGGAGCGCCGGAGGTGGGGAGGGCACACCAGGTAGGATTGAAACTTGTGCTTGGGAGTCCAGAGCTGGGGAAAAGCAATGATCTGGCCTCAGGTGTGTGGAGGGGTGCTCGCTGAGCCCAGGGTTGGGGCGAGCAGAGACCCGGCCCAGCCTTGGCCGTGCCGTGGTGGTGGGGAGGGGGTGGCGGCGTCGGCAGTGCCTCTGGCTGAAGTGAATTGGCAGCGTGTGTTCATCCCGAAGTAGCACTTAGTGAGTGAAGTTTTGCTCAGTTTTAAATAACACAGACAGTTCCTGGAGGCTCTTTTCTTCTCCCTTCTCAGGTGTGGTTGGTGCAGTGCAGCGAGGGGCTTTCCTGGCAGCGTGAAATCCTGGGATGGTGCGTACTTGAGACGGTGGCACCAGGAGAAGGGAATTGAAAGTGGCTCCGCGGCCCCAGGGAGAGGAAGATTACGATCCGGGAAGGAAAGGCTCCCAGGCCCACTGCCTCGGCCTCTCCTTCGGGGAGAGCAACCCACCCCCCCCTCCAACGTTCAGCTCGACCTGATTCCCCACAGTGAAGCGGCAAACAATTTTACCCAGGGGGTGAAGCCAGCGCCATTCCAGCGGACCTTGAAACAGAAGGTTTAAAAAAGAAAAAAAAAAAACCCAAAACCAACAAAACACTCTTTTCTTCCTCAAACCAAGTGGATCCCCACATTTCACGAGGGCTCAGCAAGCGGTAGGTGGGGAAAAAAGAAAAAACAAACCAACAACCCTTAGCCCACACGGGAAGGAGAAGGGACAGCTCATGGGAGGAGTGGGTGTTTCCCCAAGCGGCAAACAGGGGCCACACTCTTCATAAACCTCGGTGACCGTCTCCAAAAGCGGGTGACAGGAGGGACGAGGTGCCTCGTGCCAGGAGTACCCAGAAAACAACTCGCCTCCAGCGTTTTCGCCTGTGCCTCAGCCAGACACACGACGCAGGAGCCGTCCCTCCGCCTCAGCCCCTCCGTCCGGAGCGGTGCCTGGCTGCCGCTGGGACGGGAGGCCTCAGAAGAGACTCAAGATTCGATCTTTTCTTTCTTTTTGCCTTTTTTCAGGAAAGACGGGGTCCGGAATTTCTTCTTCTTCTTGGAAGGTGATTTGGAGGGTGAACCTTCGGGGGAGATGGGGTTGCTGGTCACCGTCTCCTTCTCCTTGGGGGCATCTGGGTCAGCATTAGCAGGGGAGGTCGTCCGCTCCCCAACTTTGCCCAGGTTTTCTTCAGTGCTTTGTTCCTCATCCTTCCCGTTCACCACTGCCGGCAGCTCCTTCTCGGCAGCGGAATCAGCCGGTGCTTGCCCGCCATCTGCCTTCTTGTCACCTTGGTAAGGGGAGAGCAGAGAGGTGAGGGTTGGGGCATCAGGAGGTTTAATTCCCACCCCCACCCCACCCTCCAACTCGCTGGTTTGGCCTGGGTAGGAGCAGGATTTGGCCCCTGGGGATGGAGAGATCCACTCCTGCCACAGGCACCGCTTTCCTGAGCCTTCCCCCTCCCCCTTCCCTGCAGGGCAAGCGATGGTGGAATGGAGAGCTGGGAGAAGGCAGGCAGAGAGGGCAGCTGGCTCCATCCCGGCCTCGCCGCTGGAAATAAAGCGAGCGGGAAAGACAACAAGGCGACCCAAGGCATTTCCTTCTGCAAAACCCTGAGCGGGGCACCGCTCCTCGCGGGAGCGTGTCCGAAATGGGCCACGGAGAGCAAGGTCACCGCGAGCTAGCCGAGAGCACGGTCACCCGCGTCCCTCCGCCTGCAGCAAGGCTCGAGGACGGCCTCTCCGTACTTACTACAGTGACAAGTATTCAGAGGTAACTCCTTGGGGGAAAGCCACACATGGAGGAAAGAGAAAGGAAGACGTTGTGGAGACAGACAGACAGACAGACACCATGAGACACGATGAGAAAGCGAGAAGCCGCGCGCTTCTGCTGCCCTCTCCCACGCCCTGAGACCCGCCACAGTTTGTCAGTGACAAATTTGCCCTTGGGGACATACAATAATGGGAATATCGCACCCATTGGCACGTTAGAAGGGGACTGAGGTGTCCCTCAAAGCTGCCAGCAGGCACTCATGTCCTCCCACCATGAAGGCAAGCAGCAGCTTTGGCGCCTTTGCAGCGTGAACCCCCGTTGGTGCTCGGCCCCCCCACAGCGAGGGGCCTCCCCAGGGAGAAGCAAAGGGACCCAGGGGTGACATTTATCTGCGTTTCAGCGGGATTTGGCTACAGCCACCCTCATCCCCGCTCCTCATCTCCGCTTGGCTGGTGAGCCCGGGCGCTCACTAGCCCACTCACCCTCCGAGGGCTGGGCCGGCGTCGGGGCCGGGCTGTGCGGTGGGGAGCTGGGGGGCGATTTGGTGGAGGGTGCCTGGCTCTCCTCGGCTGCAGCATCCTTCTCGCCTGCCGACAGAGAGACCATGCTGGCCCCAAGGTCCCAAAGGAGATTTGGGATCGGGGGGCTCCCCCCCACCCCCATACCCCTCTTACCCTGCAGCCCCAGCTTTTTCCTCTCCACCTCCTGCTTGTACTCCTCCAGCTCCTGGTCGGTGAGCTGGCTGAAGGGGTTCGGGGGCTCTGGCTCGGGGGGTGCCTCCTCCCGGGACGCCTCTTTGGCCTCTGCGTCCCCCAGATGACTCTCTGTGGACTGAAACACCCCCAAGAGTGGTGTCACTCCCCGACATGCTGGGGGAGCCAGGGAAGGGCTGAGTGGGCCCGGGGGGCACACGGGGTGACCTACAGGGCTGCGGCTGGTCTCGGCAATGACGCTGGCCAAGAGCTGAGACTGAGGTCCAGCCGACTTCACATCCTGGCGATTTTGCTCCCGGATCTGTAGGTGAGATGCCGAGTGAGGAGGGGGGAAAAAAGCCTCCTCCTTACCATGGGGTCTTGCTGAAACCCTGGCACCCACGTCCGAAAGCCTCTGGGGGCTTTTGGGATGGGCCGGTACCTTGTTCCTCATCTCCAGCACCTCCTGGGGGTCTGTGTAGAGGGGCACAAACTGGTTGGGGTTCTCGATCCGGATGGGGGTCCCGCTGCTGCCTTTTTCCACCTCGTCTGCTTTCAGCCACTGCGTGTCACAGAGATGAAACCCTGATAAATACACATTGTGGGGAGAGGAGACCCTGATGAATGCATCTTGTGTAGAGGAGAGACCCCAGTGGGACTAATGGTACTCAGCCCCCTGGGGTGGGAAGGTGGGATTTTAAAATAAATATTATTACAGGGCAGGAAATAGAGGCAAAACAGAAAGCCTCTGTTGAAGACACTCAATGAAGCATTTCTCGCTTCTGGGGGATCCCTGGTTGGTTCTGCTCACCAAATATTGGTGGGATAACATCCCAAGAGTCCCCCTTCTCTGCCTTTTTTGGGGTTTTTTTGATGTCCCAAAATCCCCACACCATCCAGCCAGCTGATGCCATTCCCAGACCCATTCCCAAATTAACCCAACACCCCCCCGGGATGCCGCAGGAGCCCTGCACCGTTGTCTTCGTCTTCTGGCTGCCGGCGCTGCCCTGCTGCTCCTCAGCCACGTTGACTCTCATGTAGGTGTTGGGGGTGTTGAGCCACCGCGTCTTCTCCTTCTGCTGCTTCTGGGCATGCTGCCGCAGCGCGGGGACGGGGGCCGCATCCTCCTCGAAGATGAAGGCCGTCACGGTGGCGGGGATCAGCACGTCGCTTTTGGGCTTGCTCTTCTCCTGCACGAAGGGGTAGCGGTAGGTGTAGCCCGTGCGGTAACCCTGGAAAGGCAAAAAGCACTTGGTTGTGAGTAACGTAGGGATAAAAAGAGATCATTTTGTGCACGCTGGGGGAGTTTGGCATCGGCCGGTGCTCACCAGGTTGTCCAGCATCCTCATCAAGGCTTCGAATTCGTGCTCGCCCAAGCGGCTCTTCTGCATGGGCCCGAAGGTGCTGCCGGCCCAGCGCACAGAGCCCACCTCGTGGGGCCGGTGCTTGGTGCGCTCCAGCACGATCAGGTTCTCCGTGCCCCCCGCACTCGCCAGCGCCGACACCTGCGGGTGAGCCCGGGGAGACACGGCTGATGCAGCCCAACGGCCTCTGACCTGCCACAGCCCCTGCAGCAGCAGGTCTGTGCTGGTCCATCCCATCCCGGCCACTGTGCTGACTGCAGAGACCTGGCACAGCTCACTGCATGGTCCCAGGACACCAGGCTGGCAGCAGAGACCTGGCACAGCTCAGTGCATGGTCCCAGAACACCACACTGGCTGCAGAGACCTAACACAGCTCAGTGCACGGTCCCAGTGGACAGTGCTGGCAGCAGAGGCCGTACCCAGCTCGGTGCATGCTCTGCGCTCACCTGGATCTCGCAGGCCGCCTGCAGGTGGAAGATGCTGTAGAAGGCCTCCTCGGCGGTGTCGCCCAGCGCCAGCACCCCGTGGTTGCGCAGCACCAGGATCTGCAGCACCCGGGGACATCAGCGGGGCAAAGGAGGGGACGGGGACAGAGAGGTGGCCTTGGCCCCCCCCCCCCCACCTCCTCCCTCCATGTCCCCCTCGTACCTTACAGGTGGGACCGAGGCATTTTTGGAGCTCAACCCGGTCGGCTTCGTCCTCCACCTCGCCACGGAAATCGAAGTAGGCGACGTCCCCCAGCAGCAGGGCGGCGCGGGAGATGGGCAGCACGCCGCAGCGCATGGCCGACACCTGCAGCACAGCAGGCAGGGTGACCATACCCTCCCCCTCCTCCCCTCCCAACCTCCTTAATCCCCCCCCGTAAATCCACCCCACCCCCCCCAAACCATCTTACAGCGGCGGTGGCCGGCGTGTGCAGGCGGACGATGCAGCGGGCGTCGGGGCGGGCGGCGTAGATGGCAGCGTGGAGGCTGAAGCTGCGGGCGTCGGGGGCAAAGCTGGTGCTGCCCTGCTCCACCACGGCCCCCAGCACGTTCACCTTGATCTTTGGGGTGAGAGGGGAGGGGATTTGGGGGTTCAGAGCTGGCCGGGTGTCCCGTCGTCCCACCCCTGGGAGCGGGGATGGGGACACAGGGAGGGCACGCTCACCAGGCTGGCTGCTGTCACCTCGCTGCACGCCAGCCCCTGCGGGGCCACCAAGAAATGCTCCTGCTCCTTGCTGACGCGCAGCTGTGCCAGGAAAACACCCCAAAAAAGATATAAAAATATTAAAAAAACAACCAAACAAAAACAAACCACACCAAAAACAAAACAAAAAAACACACCTAACCCCCCAAATCCCCCCTGAAATCTCAACACCC